ACAAGGTCTCCCTGTAGCCCCAGCTGTCCTGGAACTCACTATGTAGACCAGGCTGGCCTTGAACTCACAGAGATCTGCCTGCCTCTGCCTCCCCAGTGCTGGGATTAAAAAAGGCGTGCACCACCGTGCCCAGCTCAACTTCTGCATCTTTTTGATGGAGCTTTCTGGACTAGGTGTCTGTCTGCCACATACAAAAATGTCCCACCCATAGCTGTTGAAGGCAGGAGACCTGTATTGGCCCCTCCGGTTCTCCGTTCTCGAGGGAAGTCTGCAGGCTAACCCTCCGCCTCGCTTCCCGCTCTCTCTAGGGGCATTAGCTCTGGATGCCAAGATCCTCACTTGATTGGCAGCCCACTGTTCTTTACTTTGTCCTTCTGTAGTTCACTTCCTACCCGACTGCTGGTATTTCCTGGGAACTTGAATAAACTGGCTGTAGTAGAATTTTAGTCTTAAGGTCTGCTCCGGGGAGAACCCACACTGAGACCTTTGCATTACTTTGAATTTTCATGGCAGCCTATAAAGGAATTACAATTAGCATCCCTATTCACAGATGCAGACACTAGGGCTCAGGGAAGCGTCTTCTCTAAAGCCAAGGAACTAACAATGAACAGGTCCTAGAATTGGGTCTTGACTTTAGAACTGGCTATTGCAGCCTCTGTATTACAATTTCTTCTTCACTGTAGCAAAACCACTCTGAAAAATTCAGCCATCAATGTGATGGGTGCATTCATAGGAATAAAATCTTCCTGAGGGTCTAGGGATGGGGAGAGGCTGTAGATGAGAGAAGTTCTCCTTCCTCCCTTTCTCCCTCTCTTTCTATTTCTGGAATCTAGTTTTAAAACCTCCCCAATCCCGTCTGCCTGGGCTTTTTGTCCTGATGGAGACTGGTGATGGGAAAGAGAGGGTGGCCATAAGAAGCAAGAGGGTTACAGAAATAGAAGGAGAGGGAGAGGGCGAGGGAGAGGGAGAGGGAGGGAGGGAGAGGGAGAGGGAGGGAGGGAGAGAAACAGCACAGGAGGTCTTTCCTGGCTTTCTCTCCCCTACACTGGGTGGCCATTGATGTCCAGGGCAACCCTAGGAACCAGATGTGTGGGCTTCTTACAGGAAGAAGAGTAGGCTTGGAGGGGGTTCCTCTGTACTACACCAGGGCCCCTGCAAATCCCCCTACTCTGAGGGTACCCCACCACTACCTTCCTACAGAGGGAATACTCTTCAGTAGAAGAGAGTTCTTCCTAAGAAGAAAATTGGTTTCAATGCAGAAGTCCAAGGTCATCCACAAAATGTGGTCAGGGGCCCCTGGGGGGTGGGGAGTGGACTCCAAGACCAAGTCTAGGCCTAGTCTGTGTGACTCTGGCTTACAGGGGCTGCAGGCACACAAGAAGGCAGACCCACCAGGGACTTGGGGGCCAAGATTGCTGACTCGACCTCATTTTTTTCCTGAGCTAGTCAGAATAGCAAGTGACCCAGGAACTCATACAAACCTCTCAGATCTGACATCCGGCTGTGGGCATCATTGAGGTCTGTCCTCAGCCGCATGATGACCTCTTGCTGAGACAGGATTTCTCTCTGAGCAGTCAGTAAGTCCTCTCTGAAATTCACAAAAATGGGCCAAGTCAGTTCTGCTCAACATCCTTGGTGACTCCCAAGTGTGTGGGGGAGCCTAGAGCACTTAACATGCTCAGTGATGGTCCGTGGGACCCCAGTCCAGCAAGGGGACAGACAGCCTTTGAATATTCTTAAAAGAAATTCATTTTGACATGCTTTCACTTAGCACACTTTGAGACAGAACAAAGGGTCTGGTTGGGTTAGGTCCAAGGTGCACTGTGGCTGACATGATGGTGCCAGCTGGTCTTGCTTGATATCCGTGGGCAGGACTGACATGCCTGTGGGTTTGGTGGAAAGAGGGTAGAACACCATTTGATGGGTTCAGGGCTTCCCTGAGGATAGGGAAGAAGAGAGGGAGCCAGGACTTCTGTAACCTCACTGGAACCTGAAGGGGAAGTGAGCCTGTGTGAATGATGCTGTTCCCAAGGGAACAGTGGGAACCCAGGCACTGGGGGATCAGACAAAGAAGGGTATGTAGGGAGGGTGAGAGGATAGCTTCCCCATGCCCTAGGGGGCAGGACATACCTTTGGCACCATGAGAATGGCTATGCCCAGTGGAGGTTCTCTCTACAGGACACGCACTCAGCAAGGACCACAGGAAGAGGGCCTGGTGGGGTGGTGGTGGGGTTGGGGGGTGAGAGCGAATGGGTGCTGGGCTGTGTTTCTGAGTGAACATGAAGGACTTTGACTTGGAACACAGCAGAATGTGGTGACAGGCTCCACAGGTTTCTGTCATCACTTCAGGTGAGCTCAGAGGCTCTGGAAACCCAGGCTCCTCTCATACAGACTTAAAAAAATTATTTTTATTTTTATTTTTATGTGTATGAGTGTATTGCCTGTATGTATATAAGTATACCCATATCATGCAATGGCATAGAGGTCAGAAGAGGGTGTCAGACTCCCTGGCACCTGAGTTATGGATGGTTGTTAGCCACTATGTAGGTACTGGGAATCACACCTGGGTCCTCTGCAAGAGCAGCCAGTGCTCTTAACCACTGAGCCATCTCTCCATCCCAGACTTTTTTTTCCCAGCCCAGAATTAAACTTGAGATCTTCCTGCTTCAGCCTTCCAAGAGCTGGAATTATAGGTATGTACCACCACCTACCTGCTGTCACACAGACTTTTCAAGGGAGAGCACATTAGGAAACAAAGCAAAGCCCTAGCAGGTTGCACGCCAAGAAAAGAAAATAAAAACCAACGATCCGGGCTGGAGAGATGGCTCAGTGGTTAAGAACACTGGTTGTTCTTGCAGAAGACCTGGGTTCGAATCCCAGCACCCACATGGCAGCTAACAATTGTCCCTAACTCCAGTCCCAGGGGACTGGACAGCCTCTTCTGACCTCCTCGGGCATTGCACAACACGGGTGCACTTACCTACATGCAGTAAATACACGCATACACATAAAATAAAAATAATAAATAAAATTTAAAAAAAAACAATGATCATTAGAATGAAATAACTGTACATAGTCTGTGTCTGTGTGTGTTTGTTCTTGGCTGTAACTGTAACTCTCCCAGCATTAATTACAGTGACCAGACAAAAAAGAAAAAAAAAGGAAATGGAAAGGAAGTGGGGGTGGACATGGGAGGAGCTGGACGGGGGTTTGGAGGGTAGAAATAATGCAAATATAATACCCAGGTATGAAAGTCTAAAAAAAAAAAATCGACTAATCAAACAACAACAAAAAACCCAGTGATCAGAGCGCAACATGGCTGCGGGCTCCCGTCCCTGGTTCCCGTGGCCATGATTCACGTGGGTAGCCTGCAGGCCCTGCTCTCTTAGGTTGGCTCCTCTGTCTTTCTTGGAGTAGAAACCTAGTGCCTCTGTGTTGACACACTGCTTTGTGGCAACTTTTGCGTCTTTGCTGGTCATTGTTGTTGGCTGTACTGGAGATCGGACCCAGGGCCTCACACACGCAAGTGCTCTACCGCTGAGCTACATCCCCAGCATTCATGATTTTGAGACAGGGACTCATTATGTAGCTGAGGCTGGCCTCAAACTGGTAATCCTCCTATGTGCTCCCTATGTGCTGGGATTACAGGTATTATACCACACCCGGCCACGGATAGATTTTGTTTCTCTGAAAACTATCAGTTCCTTGAGACTCAATGGATTCCTTGAATCTTAGGCTTGGGAAAGGAGAGATCATTAGCTAAGGTCAATTAGTCCAACTCTTCAAAAAAAAAAAAAATAACCATTTTACTTATTTTGTACGTGTGTACGTGTGGGGGTGCACATGTACCATAATGCACCTGAGGAGGTCAGAGGACAACTTGCAATTGTCAATTCTCTCCTTCTACCACATGGATCGGGGAATCAAACTCATGTCATTAGACTTGACAGAAAGTGCCTCTACTGGCTGAGGAATTTTAGTCCAATTGCTTGACACTTTCCAGAACTCCACCCTGCTAAGTGGTCTCTACTGTCAGCTTCCATCAAAGGGACAGCCCCCCACTCCCCAAAGGGGCTCAGGAAGAGGAGTCAATCACAGTGTCAGCTCACAGTCACTAAGGGACAGACACGTGCATCCTACGGATGCATTCGTTCAGGGAGGCGACCTGACTTGCCCAGCACCACATAGCCACCAAGTATGGAACTGGGATTTGAACACAGAGCTGGAACACTATCCTGACTGTGTGCTACAGGAATGAGGATACCTACTGAAGAAATGGGTCTCAGCTGCCTTTCCAGTTCTGAGGACACGGATCTGGCTATGGTTTCCTCCCTCCCCCACCCCCATGCCTTGAGAATGACTTGGCACTCTCTCCTTGGAACTCACATCAAGTAGTCGCATGTCATCTCTTTGGTATTGCTGTCCAATGGGGGTGATGATAGAGGCTCTTGGGGTGTTTCCTCTTTCTGAGCTGAATCAGAGGGACATGTCAACATGATTATAGTCCTTACACAGCAGACACTTTCCTCTGTCCTACAAACATACCAGTGTCTCTCACAACTCACCAGATTCCTCTCATCTGCAGCCCTCTCTGTCCTGGGCTGCCCTACATGTGTGCAGTGCCAGAGGCTGAGGCTGTGTCCATGTGTGAGGTCTGAATATGGCTGGCATCCCCTGAAATGGTAACATTTAATCTCTACTGTGAGGTTTAGGTAGGTAGAGACTTGATCCCACTGTGGTATTTAGAGGAGGGGGCTACGGGGCTGGAGAGATGGCTCAGAGGCTAAGAACACTGGTTGCTTTTGCAGAGGACCCAGGTTCATTTCCTAGTACCCACACGGTGGCTAACAACCTTCTGCAGCTCCAGTTCCATGGGATCCAACGCCCCCTTCTGGCTTCTGTGGACACTGCATGCACATGGTGCACTTATATACATGTACACAAAACACTCATACACATAAATAAAAATTAAAAAAACATTTTTAGAGGAGGGGCCTTTGGGGTGTGATTAAATTAGATGATCTCATCAGGCTGGCACCCCAGGATACCTGGTGGTTTTATAAGAGGGACAGGACAGAGACCAGACCAGATTGTATTTTCTGTCTGTCTGTCTGTCTCTCTTGGTCTTTTTGAGACAGGGTCTCCCCATACCCCAGCTGTCCTGGAACTCACTATGTAGACCAGGCTGGCCTTGAACTCACAGAGATCTACCTGCCTCTGCCTCCTGAGTGCTGGGATTAAAGGTGTGCACCACCACACCTGGCCTTCACGGTTCCTTTTTTTTTTTTTTTAAAGGCAGGGTCTCCTGTAGCCCAGACTGGCCTCAAACATGCTATGTAGCAGAGTATAACCCTGAACTCCTGATCCTCCTGCCCACTTCTCAAGTGCTGAGATTACAGGCGTGCACCACTCGGTTGTGTTTATGTTGGAGGCGGAACCCGCATGCTAGGCAGGCACTCTACCAACTGTGCCCCAGCCCCAGCCCTGCATATCCCTTGTCTCTTACATGTGACACTCTGGGTCTTTTCAAGACTCTACCAGCAAGGCCATCACCAGATAAAGACCTTTGATCTTGACCCTGACTCCAAATTAAACCTCTTTTCTTTATGACTTTCCTACTCACGGCATTAGATTAACATCCACAGAAAAATGGGCTAATATGGTCGTGAGAGCTTCCTGGCTAGCGTGTGAAGCAGAGGTCACCAATGACATTCACAGACAAGGGAGAGACGTGGGAGCAAGGGACCTACTGGCAAAGGCCCAGCCAAGCTTCAAGAACTGCAGCCTTGGCAATGGGTCACATCATCTCCCCTCCTCTCTCCCTTTAGACAAAAGACCTAGAAGGATTCACGCTTGTTGGTGTCCTGTCCTCACCTCTCACTCCTCAGCCCACTGTTCTCTGCTTTCCACTCTTACTCAGTTGTTTAGTCACTCAACAAACACTTGGGCGATGCCTGCTTCATGGCAGACACGGATCTAAGGGCAGAGATGACAAAGATGGTGTCACTCTGAGGTCCCAGCTTCAACATCCTCCTGACCTGGGTTAGGACACCAAGCCCAGCTCTCTGCCATTTCTATGGGGTCCTATTCATTCTGGGTTACCTGTCAGGGTAGCAACTTGGTTAACCATGGGGACAGTAGCTGGCTTGTCCATCATGGATCTCTAGTATCTGAAGGAGGCTTGGGGCATCATAGACGCCCAACTAAGAGGAGACTTGCCAGCTGGGGATGGGGGCCATGACTCTGAATGGAGGCTGGCTTGCCTCTAGGGGAGCAGTGGCGATGCCTGGAGACATTTGACTGTGAGGCGGGAGAGGAATGAAGCTCATAGTGAAGACCACAGATGTAGCTACCCCCCCCCTTATCTGGGACAAACACCTCCTCTCCCCCAGAGCAAAGCTTATCCAGTCCCAAATATCCACCAGTGCCTCTGCTTCCAGAACTCTCCACCCAGAGCTTTAGTGTTTGTCATGAGTGATCAAGGTCATTTAAGGTAAATGAGTGACATAACTCGGAATACTGTTTTTAGCCTCTTTGGGGCTTATTTTATAAGAGGCCAGTCCTGGCTGCCCAGGAGAATATGGTTAGTCAGGTGGCAGTGGCCAGTGGCACTGAGAGAGGGCTGGCTTGATGCTCTCGTGGAAAAGACAACTCTACTAACGGCTCCGGCTGCTTGTGCATCTCGCTGGCTCACTGGGTCAGCACAAAGGATGCCCTGACTCACTGTTGTTACTTTGGTTCAGCTAGGCCTTGGAGGAGAGTTTGACAGAGAATGAGGGAGCTTTTAGATGGGGCGTGTCTTTCAGTAGTCAGCCCGGGGCCCTGCGAGAGCTGCTCAGATACCCTGGTTTCTCCAGCAGCCTGGCTCTACCTGGGTCAATGTCCTTCAACGTTGCGATTTCTCCTTCAATTTTTTTGTGGTGTTGAGTCACTTGATGGAGCCTCTCCTCCAAGCTCACGATGGTCTGGGAGTGCTGCCTGATCTGCTCCTTGTACACCGCAATTTCCTCTTCAAAGCCGTGTTTCTGGGATTCCTGCTCCTCCTGGAGGGCCTTCATTGCCTGCTGCTGCAGCCTCACCTGATCCTCCGTCACGATCTAGGGAAACAGAGCGAGGATGGTTTGAAATCAGGAGCTGGGTTGGATGGTGACAATCTGTCTTCTTTGCACACGCAGGCGCTTAGCTGGGTCCCATCTCAGAGTCTCTGCATGTGCTGTTCCCGCTGCCGGTCCATTCCTTCTCTGGCTCCCTGCCAGGCTGATCTATCTAATGTTTCAGGTCTCGGCTCTAACGTTACCTGGAGGAACCCTCCCAGACACCTGCTCACCGGCCAGTCTGAGACATTTTCTATGTTGCTGGTTTTCTTGTCCCCGAGACCTTTGCTGCCATCTGAAAAGATCTCGTTTCTTTGTTTTTCGCCCCTGCTTGTCCCTCTGCTCCAAGTAGCAGAAGCTCTGCTGAACTTCAGCAGCAGAAGTTCTCTTATCACTACAGCACCTAGACCCAGATGCTTGATAAGTATTAGTGAACAGAACAATTGATGAGAAATAAAGTCAAATTAATTTGCATTTCTTTCTTTCTTTTTCTGACATTTACTATTTTATTTTATGTGTATTGCCTGCATGTGTATAAGTGCACCCGTGTCATGCAGTGCCCTTGGAGGTCAGAAGAGGGCGCCAGATCCCCTGGAACTGGAGTTACAGATGGTTGTTAGCCACCATGTGGGTGCTGGGAACTGAAGCCAGGTCCTCTGCAAGAGCAGCCAGTGCTCTTAACTGGTGAGCTATCTTTCCAGCCCTTCCTTCAAACAGGGAGGTTGTTTAACAGTACCTCTAATGTCTATACCTAGCAGTTCAGGTTTAAATCTTGACTTGCTACTCCTTTCTTTCTTTTCTTTCTTTCTTTCTTTCTTTCTTTCTTTCTTTCTTTCTTTCTTTCTTTTCTTTCTTTCTTTCTGTACAAGGGATCAAACCCAAGGCCTTGTGCATCTCAGGCAAATACTCTACCACCAACCCATATTCCAACTTTATTTTCATTTCATTTATTTATTTTTAATTAATTGAACTTCTTTATGTGTGTGAGTGTTTTGACTGAATGTATATAAGTGCACCTGTTTGTGCAATGCCTGAAGAGGGCCAGAAGAGGGAATTGGATCCCCTGGAATTGGAGTTATGGACAGTTGTTAGCTGCCAAGTGGATGCTGGGAGCTGAACTTAGGTCCTCTGCAAGAGCAGTCAGAGCTCTTAAGCACTGAGCCATCTCTCCAGCTCCTTTATTTTTTCTTTTGAGACAGGGTCTCACTATGTAGCATCAGCTGGCCTGGAACTTGCCAGGTACACCACTGTGGCCTTGAACTCACAGAGATCTACCTGCCTCTGCCTCCTAAGAAATGGAATTAAAGTCATGCGCCACCACACCTGGCCTTTTGCAAATTTATTATTTTTATTTTAGTTTGAGACAAGTTCTTACCAAGTTGCCCAGGCTAGCCTTGAATTCACTCTGTAGCCTAGGCAGACCTTGAATGTGTGCCTCTCCTCCTTCAGCCTCCTGAGTAGCTGGGATTCCAAGTCTGTACTGCCAGGCCTGGCAATTCTTCAGGAAGTGCATGATACAAGCACACTTATATACACATGGGCAAAGCACTCATACACATAAAATAATAAATATTTAATTTGTGTATTATGTTTATGTGCATGCAATTCTCATCAGGGGATGATTTTGCCTCTAAGGAATGCTTGGTAGTATCTGAGCCATGTTTATCAGTCTCACTTGGAGAAGGGGATCTTGCTTACCGTCCCACAAGGCATAGGACCATCTGGCCCAGGATGGTGGCAACCTGATGTTGGGCAGTCCTGGCCTCAACCCTGTGTTTTCCGATACCATCACCTCCACTTACGGAAAGTTTACCATTGACCTGCCATTACCATTGACTGACCTGCCATTACCATTGACACCTACCACTTTTGTCTTGGCAGTTTCCAGCTCGGCTAATGTTTCATTTAACTTCAGGGTGAGGCATTCTGCTTTCAGGACCTCCGCTGTCTTCATCTGCCGAGTCTCTTCTACCATGGCCAGGGCATCGTTCAATTTATTATTTAAAACATTCTCTATTTGCCCTTTTAATTCTATTTCCTAGACAAACGACAAACAAATGAATAGACATTTGGGATTAAATCGTCACCCTCACCTCCTTTTCCCCCTGTGGCTTCAGAAAGGACACAGACTCCATTCTGCTGATGTTTGTTTTAAGTCCAAAGTGCATACCTTTTCTGGAAGGTTCCAATTACTGCAGAACTCTGCTTTATCCTCAGCCAAGCTCTGTTTCCTTGTGATTTCTGGTTTCTGAACCACATTCTGTAACCTGGAGCTCTTTGAGTAAGTTTTATTTCTCTTTTATGACACAGCTCTTTAAATATTTGAGGAGGGCTGTCATATTTCTCTCTAACTCTATTTTTCAGGATAAATGTGCTGAGTGCCTTCACTCTGTGACCTGCCCTGGGGACACAGTGTTCCCCACTAGGGCTTGGCACTGGGATTACCATTCCTTGCTCTCCAGGTCCCGGTCCAGATAGGACCCCAGCTGCCAAGTCCTCAGAACAATTAATGCTTCCCCTGGGAACCCCTTTAGTCCCCCAGGAGACTCTTCTTGAAGGACTGGGAGTGTAGGCTCCTACCAGGCCCCATGCTCAGGTTTCAAGCATTGTGCTTTTTTTTTTTTATTGCATGTGTATGCATGTTTGTGTGTGTGTGTGTGTGTGTGTGTGTGCAGATATGCATTTGTACATATGTGGAGGTCACAGGACAACCCCAGGTATCCTTCTCAGAATGCTGTCCACCTCCATTGAGACAGTCTCACATTGGCTTAGAGCTCACCAGTTAGGCTAGACTGGCTGACCAGTGAGCCCCAGGGATCTTTCTGTTCCTGATTCCCCAGTGCTGGGATTACAAGCACACACTATCACACCTGGCTTTTTAATTTTGCTTTATTTTAATATTTTATCAATTATTTTTATGTGTAGGAGTGTTTGCCTGCATGTATGTAAGTGTACCTGTGTCTTGTAATGTCCATGGAGGTCAGAAGAGAGTGTCAGATCCCCTGGAACTGAAATTATGGACAGTTGTTAGCTGCCATGTGGGTGCTGGGAACTGAACCTAGATCCTCTGTAAGAGAAGCCAGTGCTCTTATCTACTGAGCCATCTCTCCAGCCCCCACACCCGGATTTAAAAAAAAATTATTATTTTATGTGTATGAGTGCTTTGCCTGCATGTATAAGTGCACTTGAATCATGCAATTCCCGAAGAGGCCAGAAGAGGGTGTCATATCCCTTTGGAACAGGAGTTAAGGGTGGTTATTAGCTGCCATGTGGGTGCTGGGAACTGAATACAGGTCGTCTGCAAGAGCAGTCAGTGCTCTTAAGCGCTGAGCCATTTCTCCAGCTTCTGCCTGGCTTTTTAAAAACAAGGGTGCTGGGATGGAATAGAAGTTATCATGTGGGTGGCAAGCATTTCACTGACTGAGCCACATCCCCAGCCCCAGGAAATGGGGTGCAGTCTTGGACGCTATTGGGCATATTCCTTTTGGAAGGCCACTTGGGAACAAGGGCTGAGTGAGGTCACTCACATCCTGGTGTCCAGCAGTCACAGTTTTGAGACTCTGTCCTAAGGATTGAAAGCTCAGTGCACGGTTGTTCAGCCAAGCATCTTTTACATATTTTGTTGTTTATTTATTGTCATTATTGTTTTGGTTTTTGAGACAAGGTCTTACAATAGCCCAGGCTGGCTTTGAATCACGAGCCTCCTGCCTCAGCCTCCTGAGTAACAGGAGTCCAAGCATGTACCACCAAGCCTTGCTCCAAGCTTCTTTCATACGTCATGGAAAGAGAGAAAGAATTCTAAGCCCACCACAGGGAGGAACAAACAACCCAGGGTCCATCTCATACAGTGCAGACCCAGGACATCGTTTGTCTGCAAGTGGTAGAAGACAGTTCAGTGACATGGGATACATTTGAGAGAAACTTAATGTAGCAAAATAGCTTCCCAAAGCAGCAGACACCACGTCACTAACTCGATAAGGAGTCGGGTGTCACACTGTCAGCCATCTTTGCTAAATACAAAGGCACCCTGGAGAGAATCACATCAGAATGTCACTGGCGACAGCTCTGTTCCATGGAAGCAGGTCTCTGTTGATGCTCTTCTGAGCAACAGTCTGTGTTGCCAAATGTTCTAGAAGGACAGGGGTTCCTTTTATAATCAGAAAAGAAACTGACATTTCTGGGGGACAAATACAAGCACTGCTGTTCTCAGTCTGCTTCACTGGGAGTCACTTCATGGTTTTGTACCTGACACTGTGAGGCACTTCATACTGCTGCAGTGTTGAGGAATTTCATGAGGATAATTGCAGACCCAGCCTAAGGAATGAGTCCCACAGAACAGCCTGCCATGTACTGCCCAGTGGATGCGCCAGGTGTCCCTGAGAATCTACCACAGACCACGCTTGTTTCTCTGCTGGGTCACAAAGCTGGCCTGTCTAAAGAGACACAGTGTTGACCATCTTTGCTCCATGATCTGGAGGAGACCCTCTGTTGGCCGTCTGTTCCTTACCCACAGGTCTGGAGGAGACCCACACTGTCAGCCATCTTTGCTTCTTACCCACAGGTCTGGAGATATTTTTTTCCATTCTCTCTCTCTCTCTCTCTCTCTCTCTCTCTCTCTCTCTCCTCTCTCTCTCTCTCTCTCTCTCTCTCGCTCTCTTTTTGTTTTGCTTATGTAGATGACATATAAGTCACTCTAGGTCTAGGTCTGAGTAGGGTTTTTTTGTTGTTGTTTATTTTTTACTCTTTTTTGACATGGGTCTCATGTATCTTAGGCTGGTCTTGAATTCACTATGTGGCTGAGGATGACCTTGAATTCCTGATTCTCCTGCCTCTACCTACTAAGTGCTGTAATGCCTTAATTAAAGGCATGCACCATCGAGCCTGGTTTATGTGGTACTGGGGATGGAACCTGGGCTTCGTGTATACTAGGCAAAGTGTTCAACCATCTGACCCGTAACTAGGCTGATATCTCCAGCCTAGTTATCTTTCTGATACTAACTATTCTGACAGGCTTGAGATGACACAGCCCTGTGGTTTTCAATATATTTCCCTAGTGATTGGCAATGTGGGATGTTTTTTCATATATCTGCTGGTTATTTGTCTTCTTTTGAAAAATGTCTACTGAAGGGCCGGAGAGATGGCTCAGTGGTTAAGAGCACTGACTACTCTTGCAGAGGACTGGGGTTTGAATCTCAGTACCCACATGGCAGTTAACAACCATCCATAACTCCAGTTCTGGGGACTCTGATGCCGTCTTCTGACCTCTGTGGGCACTGCATGACAAGAGTGCACTTACATACATGCAGGCAATACACTCATACACATAAAATAAAAATAATAAATAAAAAAGAAAAATGTCTACTGAGACCAGATGTGGTGGCCCTAGCCTGTAATTCCAGCTACTTGAAAAAGCTAGAAGGGAGGATGGTAGGTCTCAGGCCATCCTGAAGCACATAAGGAATTATATAAGGAATCCAAAGTCCATCTGGGCAATTTAGCAAGAAATAAAAATTTGAAAATACCTAAAGGATTGGGATGTTGTACTTGCCAGGTATGTGTGAAGCCCTCAGTTCCATCCCAGTACCACAAAAGAGAACGAAAGCCAGTTTTTCAGTTCCCTTGTCCACGTTTCAGTTGGACTATTTATTTTCTTTCCGCAGAGCTCTTCGAGTACCTTAGATGATGTACCGGTTAATTTTTGTCAGCTTGACACAAACTAGAGTCACCTGGGAAGAGGAAACCTCGACCAAAGAAGTTCCCAGATCAGATTGACCTGTAACCATGTCTGTGAAGCATTTTCTTAATCACTAGTTGATGTGGGAGGGCCCAGCCCACTGTGGGTGATGCCATCCCTAGGCAGATGGACTTGGGTTGTGTAGGAAAGGTCGCTGAATGCAAGCCAGGAAGCAGCCTTCCTCCGTGGTCTCTGCTTCAGCTCCTGCCTCCAGGTTCTGGCTTGAGCTCCTGCCCTGGCTTCCTTTGACGATGGCCTCTAACTTATAAGCCATAATAAACCGCTTTGTCCCCCAGTTGTTTTTGGTCAAGTGTTTGATCACAGCAACAGAGAAGCAAGCTAGAATGGGTGGCTTAGGCATTAACTAATTCTTGGGCATATGATTTATAAATATTGCCTGCCCAATCTGTGCACTGTGTCTGTGTCTTGTGTCTGTGCATCATTTCCTCTGTTGGGCAGATGCTTTAAACCTGCCTATTTTTGCTTTTGTTCCCTGTGTTCGGGGGGTCAGCGCTACAGAATCCCTGCCGGAGCCACGCAGTGTTTCCTTTGAGTGTTTCCTAGACTTTGCGGTTCTGTGTTCTTTGCTGTTGATGGTGGTTCCCTGCTATGCGTTCTGTCCTCTGGGTCTGTGTGGTGCCACTGGCTAATTCTGAGGTCTCCCAGATGCTGCCCTTTGGTATTTGACCATTCTAAGGCTGTTGCTAAGAATGTTTTTTGTTGCATTACAGAGTTTCCTTTGAGACAGCCCTTACTGGAGATTCTCTGTGGGGTTGGCACCCAGAAGGGCCGTGTCACCATGCTCTTTCTTGTTCTATGTTTTGCTGCTGTTATTGTAACACTCAGGATGGAACCCAGGGCCTTGTGCATGCTAAGCAAGTGCTGGCCCATTAAGCTATATCCCTAGGCTTCTTTTTACTTTTTATTTTGAGATCACCAAGTTGCTGGAACTATCCTTGAACTCATTTTGCAGCTGAGACTGGCCTTGAACTTGGGATCTTCCTACCTCAGCCTTCTGAGTAGTTGGGATTACAAGCTTGTGCCAATAGGCCTTGCACGGCTTGCTCCATTTTTGTGTATAACTGTATAAGCAGCATGCTGTCCTTTGCCCTATAACTGCTGGAATAAAACTGTGGTTTATTCGTTGATGCATGATACACTTAAATCAGTACCATTCCAGCCCCAATTTATTTTCCAGCTTATCATCTTCTAAAAAATTTTTAAATTTATTTTTTTAACTTTAAAAAACTTTTTTATTTTATGTGTATGCGTGTATTGCCTGTGTGTAGGTAAGTGCACCCGTGTCATGCAATGCCCAAGGAGGTCAGAAGAGACTGTTGGATCCCCTGGGACTGGAGTTACAGATAGTTGTTAGCTACCATGTGGGTGCTGGAATTTTAACCCGGGTCTTCTGTAAGAACAACCAGTGTTCTTAACCGCTGAGCCATTGCTCCAGCCCCATCTTCTAACAATTTAAATTCCCTTCTTCTCCTACCCCTTGCCGACGTATTCCTCAGTTTCATGGAGCATCATTAGGGAAACAAGGCTGTGGACCACCAAGAGACCTCTCCTTGGTCAGAGCTCAACCTGTGTACCATGCCCCTGTGTGGAAGTGTGGCAGCCCTGACTTGCTGGATTCTGCCCCCTGGGCCACCTGTCCATTAGTTAAAGCCTCTGATCAAAGTGGTACCCAGGGCTGCTCTGCAATCCCAAGGGTTTTGCTGGCATTGCTTCTCCTTGGGTGGTGCTGTTCAAAGTGCCCCAGGGTCATTTGGGTAGCTTGTTAAAAATGCAGATTCCTGATCCACCTGATACCCAGTGCACAGGAATCTCCAGAGGTGCAGCCTAGGGAAGGGCACTTAAAACTTCTTCCTCGGAGATGGGTGTGCACGGCAGTGTGTGGGAACCTCTGTGTGAGAAAACCACCTCAAAATGGATGCAAAGAGACTTAGAGATCCTTTTCAGTCCTAGCTGGCCCTGAAAATCCTTTCAACTCCTGTTTACCTCTATCTAAATTTAGCCTACAACTGCCAGGTTGAGTAATGGCTTCCTGCTTTGACTGAGATATTGACCAAGGGGTGTGTGCACATGTGCGTGTGTGCACATGTGTATAAATGTATGCATGCATGTAGAGCTATGTATATATGCGTTATGTACATGTGTGCATGTATGTACACACACATGTGTAACTGTACATATATGTGTATATGCATATGTATGTGTGCATGCATGTGTATATGTATATATTCATGTATGTAAGTGTGTATACATATGCATGTGTATGCATGTATGTATATGTATATGTGTATGTGTGCATGTATATGCATGTATATACGTGTATGTGTATATATACACGTGTATGTGTGCACATATATGCATATGTGTGCATGTATATATGTATGTATATGCATATGTATGCTTATATTTGTGTATATATGTATGTATATGCATATGTATGTGTGTATATGTATGTATGTGTGTTCTTTGTATGATGGGGGTCCAGGATGAGCGAACGGCATCTGCAGTTTGTGAAGCTGTGGGCTGTGTGTGCTGCCGCCTCTCTACCCAGTGTGTCACAATTGCAGGTCCCAACAGGAAATGCATTTCAGTTTTGACGGTGACGACTGTGCCGACAGGTTCTGATGGGAAACTGACATGGAAATGACTGGAAGTTCAGATGTCCAAACCTTGACGTTGTTTACCTCACATCAGGCTGAGGTACAGTAGAAAAGGAAGAAGATGAGGGTTTGGGAGTCCTAGGTTCAGATTCTGCCCCTTTTCTTCTGAGTCATGAGCTTGTAACAATCACATGAACAGTGGACACACAGCACCTAGTGTGTGCAGGTCTGTCTCCGGCTCCGTGTGTAACAGCAGTGTTTCACGACAGAATGAGACTGATTTATGCACCATCTATATTTCAAATGTGGATGTAACAAGGCCCAGAGATAACAAGTAACTTGCCTGAAGTCCCACAGCCAAAGAGGGGCAGAAGAAGGCTTTGCACCCTGTCTACCTGGCCTTGGCCTGGCCGGTCTGCTGGGACCTTTTGTCCTCTACTTCGAGACACATACCTCTCTCTGCTTGGTCAGGTGGTTCTCCAGGTCCTCCACCCTCCTCTTTTCCTTCTCTAAGGCCTCTCCCATTTTGAGTCTCTCATAGGCAAGGTTGTTCTCGGAGATCTGGAAGTCAAGGACAAGGGGTTTGAAGGTGTGTGCAGATGGAAGGGAAGCGTCCCTGCATGGGGAAGGAAGCCAGGGTGAGTCACCATGGAGACCAGGGACATGCTGGCTTTGGGAGCAAGAACTCAAGGAGCAAGGTGCACACCAGGGAGTGAGGCAGAGTCCTGGTACGTGACCAGGCCAGGCGCAGGGAGCCGAGTCCCAGTAAGTCACATCCACGTGCAGGAGAGAAGGGTCATTCCAGTTTCTATGCTGGCGTCAGGAAATGACTTGTGGGTGAGTGTTCAGTCCTGTCACCAGATACCATCCAACCTGGTAGGTGCTGGCGCCAGCACAGGTTCTGGCTGGGAAGTCCTTGTCCTACCCTGGGAGTTGGGGCAGAGTGCCAGCACTGGGGACATGCTTCCTGCCCCAGCAGGCTCTGTGCCCGTGCCTTCAAAGAAGGGCGTGGGCAGTATTGTCTACAGAGGTGAGAGTCTCAAAACTTCACACTGGATAGGCATGGGGGTGCACACATTTAAATCCAGCACTTAGAGGCAGAGGCAGTTGGATTTCTGTGAGTTTGAGGTCAGCCTGGTCTACATAGTGAGGGTTCTAATCCAGCCAGGGCTACACAGTGAGACCCTGTCTCAAAGCAAACAAACAAACGACAACATCTTCACAACTAGACAGTTTGGAACTGGGGACCCCCCCCCCACAGTAGGCCTAGACTGAGGGAGATGGTAGGTTTAGATGTCCTTACACAAGCCCTGGGAGGGACAGCCAGCTCAGGTCAGGGGGCAAAAATCCTTGAAGTGTTGGGACTCCTGCTTTCAAGCCCCAGGACAGACATCAAGTTTACCAGAAAAACATTTTATTTTATTTTTTGTTTCTGTGTTATTACTGTGCCTATGTATGGTAGGCATATGTGCACATATGCACATGCCATGATTCACATATGGAGGTCAGAGGACAACTTTGTGGAGTCAGTTCTCTCTTTCTAGCTTTACATGTGTTCTGAGGATTGAACTCAGGTCACCAGGTTGTATAGCAAATGCTTTTTGCCCACTAAACCATCTTGCTGGCTCCAGGAAGACTTTTTTTTCATTTGTTTGTTGTTTGAGACAGGGTCTCATGATGTAGCCCTGGCTGGCCTGGAAGTCACTATGTAGACCAGGCTGGCCTTGAACTCACAGAGAGCCTCCTGCCTCTGCCTTCTGAGTGCTGTGATTAAAGATATGCACCACCACACCTGGCCTCCACAAAAACATTTAAAATATTTTATTTATTATTTTTATTTTATGTGTATGAGTGTATTGCCTGCATGTATGTGAGTGTACCCCTGTCGTACAATGCCGTGGAGGTCAGAAGAGGGCACTGGATTCCCCTGGAACTGGAGTTAAGGACAGTTTGTAGCCGCCACGTGGGTGTTGGGAATTGAACCTGGGTCCTCTGCAAGAGCAGTCAGTGCTCTTAACTGCTGAGCCATCTCTCCAGGCCCCACGAAAACATTTTACACACATGTCTATGTGCAGATAGAAGACCCGGGAAGTGTGTACTGAAGGGCATCAATGGATCAATGGTTAAGAGCGAGAAATGAACTTCCACTGGTCTGTCTCCTCTGTTTTCTTTGGTAAATTCACATTCTGTGAGTGTGTGTGTGTGTGTGTGTGTGTGTGTGTGTGTATGTGTGTGTGTGTGTGTCTTTTTGAGACAGGGCTGCTGTGGAGTGGAGACCAGTGGACAACCTTGCATGTCATTCCTATTCATCACCTTTTGTTTGGGGGGACAGGGTGTTTTTCACTGACCTGGAACTTGCTAAGTATGTTAGGCTGGCCATCAAGCCCCAGGGATCCTTCAGTCTCTGCCTCCCCAGCTCTGAGATTACAAGTGTGTGCTACTGTGCCTGGCATTTTTCCAAACTTTTTTTTTTTTTTTTTTGGTCTTTTTGAGACAGGGTCTCCCTGAAGCCCTAGCTGTTCTGGATTCACTATGGAGACCAGGTTGGCTTCGAACTCATAGAGATCCACACTCATAGAGATCCGCCTGCCTCTGCCTCCCGAGTGCTGGGATTAAAGGTGTGCGCCACCACGCCCGGCTTGTGCCTGTCATTTTTACATGGATTCTGCGGCTCTGGGTCCTCATGCTTGTGTGGCAAATGCTTTACTGACTGAACCATGTCCCCAGTCCAGTAAATGCACATTGTCAAGAAAGAAAAGCAAGCTAAAATTGTCCTAGGAAACTGTGACCATGGGGACAGGTATGATCAGTTAACCTAATGCTTCCCATATTTAACAGATTGCTTGGGGCTCCTAACCCACCATGCTGCCCACCCACATGCTGTTCTCCTGCTTTGCTGACTTGATGCAGACTGTCACAATGACTCCATCTTTGCTAAGCCAGCCTGGCCCCATCTCTGCAGGTTAATGTCCTGTCTGAGGCCACCCCCCGCCCCTGTACACTGCTCCAAACCCTGTCTTTCCCCATGCTGGCTGCTCTGCCTGTCAGAAGCTGGCACCTTGAAAACCCCACCGCTGACCCAGCTGTGCACAGATGCTCTGGGGCAGCCAGGACCTCACTGTGGGCTCCTTTTCTTCAGGCTAGCTCTATGTGTGTGTGACCCTTGCCCAACCTGGACTCTGCCCTCAACTCCTTCATGGGTATGGTGGAGTCCCAGTGCCATCCTTGACTCTGACTTCAGGGGGGCAGCTGCCTCACCATCATGAACACACTGGCTCCTTTTGGCAGACCTCGACCTACATGGCAGATGAGGGCATAGTGAGGGCAAGGGGCTTTCCAGGGTGACACAGCATGTCAGTGTAGACCTGGGGTTTGAACAGACAGTTTTAACTTCTAAACTCTGTTTCCCACTTCCTGTATCTGCACACTGTTTCTTGCTTCCTTCTCTGGACCCCCTTCCCACTCCAGCATTGGATTCTTCCCTCATACCCTGCCCTGTCCTTCTGGCTAGCTGACTCATCCTCTTTCCCTAAGTTTCTTTCAACAGTTGCTTCTTTCCTGTCTGCCAGTGGCTCTCTAATCCATTCTCTGCCTTATATGTCTCCTGGTGTCGGGGTCTGGAGTTTTCCTGTTTGCTTACGTGATGGTCACCTTCCCAAGCTGAGATGGTACTCAGGGTAGCAAGATCACAGCCTCTTTGTGGTGTCCTGGGAACAGGACAGGGCTTGGCAATCGCAGGGAGGGGAGTAGAGAACATGGAGGCTGAATGAAGCCAGCCACACAATGTGCTGAGCCAAGAGGGACGCATCTGTGACCACTCTGTCCGCAGCTCGTGGAGATGGCTTTGTGGGTTGCTGAGTGAGTCTCACTGGTCTCCAGGGTGTGCTGAGGCACTGTGGCTCAAAGAGCCGCATCCCTTTGGGCTTGCCTTTCATGGCTACTCTAGGCAAGGGTGTCTGCTGGCCTGGTCCCTGGGGTGGTAGATATCTCTTCTTCTGCCTGGGCCTGGCCCTTGGAGACCCCTCCTCGCTTCCTTCTGGTCCCCATTTCTGTAAAGCTGCACTCTCATCTGTCCCAGAAGGACAGCTCAGTCCGTCCTTGCCTGTCCCATCTTACTCTCAAATGTTTTTGTCTCTTGCCCACCAGCCAGTCCCAGGAGGGTCTACTTGAGAGCTTGTTATACCAGGGGAGGGTCTCTCTCATGGCATGCTGGGAATAATGCCCTAAAAACCTTGTTCTGAAAGGAGGGGGAACACTGAATGAGGGAGCCTGTGCCCAGGGCTTTCTCCTGGGGGGGGGGTACCCCTGCTTGAGGTGGCCAAGCCAGGGAGTTAGGACAGGGGAAAGGCCCCCGTAGGTAGGCCTTGTTCTAAGTACTTTACGCAGAATGATGGACAGTTCCGTCCCCCTCTTTTTTGTTTTTTTGAGAAAGGGTCTCCCTGCAGCTCCAGCCAAACTGAAACTTGCTATGTAGACCAGGCTAGCCTTGAACTCATAGAGATTCGTTTGCTTCTGCTTTCTAAGTGCTGGGATTAAAGGTGTGCCCCACCATGCCTGGCCTCTACTCCCATTTTTCAGATGAGGACCTGGAGGGGTGGGAGCTCCTGTGCTCAGGTCAGCTAGTGAGTGGCAGGTATCACCGTTTTCCAGGGAGGTGCTGCAGGCTATGTGCCTGTGGGTCTGGCTGGGCACACCTGGCTTGGGACTCCTTGAAGAGGGTCCCCACTGCTCCTACCTCCTTCTGTTGGGTCAGCTGGTTCTCCAGGTCCTGTATCCTCCTCCTTTCCACCTCCAGTGCTTCCTTCACTTTTCTTCTCTCATGAGCCAAGGTGTTCTCCAAGACCTGAAAGGTATGCTCGTATCAGTTAATAAAACTAATAGCTCAGAGGTTGGGGTGACCTCCCCTGCTGGGGTCCTGGGAAACCCTGCACCCCCCAGGAAGACCTCACCCTCAGAGCGTACCTCTATTGGGAAGGGAGGTGCTGCTAGGAACCCATTTTACATTAAAAAATATTTAATATTTTTATTTTATGTGTATGTATGTATTGCCTACATGTATGTATGTACACCCATGTCATACAATGCCTGTGGAGGTCAGAAGAGGGTGTGAGATCTCCTGGAACTGGAGTTACAGATGATTATTAGCTGCCATGTGGGTGCCGGGACTAGAGTCTGGGTCCTCTGCAAGAGCACCCAGTGTTCTTAACCACTAAGCCATCTTTCCAGCCCTGTATTTTACATTTTTTTTTGAGACAGGATCTCTCTGTAGCCCCAGCTGGCCTAGAACTCCCTATGTAGTCCAGGTTGGCCTGGATCACACAGAGATCCCCTTGGCATGGACTACTGTGGCTGGCCAGGAACCTATTTTATAGGCAAGCAAACTGAGGGTCAGAAGACGTAAGGGTTTGGGGATCTGTCAGTGGGGAGGCCAGGTTCCTGGATACAGCAAAGCAGGTGTCTGGCACACAGAAGCTCTAGGAAGGGATCAGCAGACAGAGGAGCCCAGCCTCTGGTCACTAGAGCAGGCAGCTTCTCTGATGGAGAGGCATCTTGTTGATCTTGGAAGGAATATTGGTTTCAAGAGGACGAAGGTGTGAGGATGTGTGAGCCAGTGGCCACCTTCTAGGAGATGGGGGAGGGGTGAGCCTTCCTGGGCTGCTGGCATGGTGGGGAGGGGAGAGCTCTGGGTTAGCATTTGTTGACCCTAGTCATGGATTTTCCTCTGGTCCATTTCTTGGTGCTGTGCTACGAGATTCCCCCAGAGGACAGAAATTGTGGGTCCAGCATGTTTCCAGAAATCCCAAGAAAAGTGACCAACTTTCACACAGCCTCCCTTCTTGCCACTGGGTCCATGTGATTTCTAGTACTGCTCACTATGAGGGGCTGGATTAGCCTGGGGGAGGTGTTTAGTCCACAGGATGCAGCGAGCCTTTTGGCGCACACCTAAAATCCCAGCACTTGGGAAGTAGAGGCAGGAAGATCAGTAATTAAGGTCATCCTTGGCTACATAGTGAGTTTGAGGCCAGCCTGGGCTATGTGAGACTTTATCTCAAAGAAAGAGAAGGTAGCTCAGTACTCTCTCAGGGGAAACCACAGTAAGGTCTTCATAGGTAGACTGAGACTCTGAAAGACCATGGTGAGCAGCCGCAGCACCTCTCCCCCATCTCCTTGGACTCTAAATTCAAGGGCCTTGTCAGCCGTTGTTGACCTCTGGGTGGCCTCTGACTTAAGTGACTCCATGGAGACCCCTCCTCTTCACCCTGGAGACAGTAACTCAGAGACAGACCAACCTTAGTGACACTGTTTACAGAGGAGCGCAGCTGCTCCGGAAGCCATGTGTAAACACTCTCTACGCCCCAACCCCCAGCAGATCAGACTGTCTGGGCAGGAAGCAAGGACTGTGTAGAAGTACGGGGAGATCTGGCTGTGGTGATGATGATGGCTACCTCGAATCAGTGGTGCTTCTGTGTCAAATGCTTGTTGTACATTAACTCCGACCTTCACCATCCGCTCCAAGCAGGGAGGTATGGGTGGACCTGTGTCAGCCAGGACTCAAACTCAACTCTCATGGGGTTACAAAGTCTGCACTCTTCAGGACTGAGGGCTTACCAAAAGCATGTGTGAAAAGCGATCAGGGGTCTGAGGGTGACCATAAGGTAAATGCAGCAGACATTCCCCACAAGCTATAGTTTGGGTGGACTAACAGAAACAGAGTATCTTTCATGGGGGCAGGAGAGTCCTTCCCTAGCCTTCCTTGGCTGGAGGATGGTGTTGGCTACCATGCTTTAGGAAGAAAGCAGGCAGTGGAGTACACACCCCAAAGCTGATGTGGGTCAGATAGCCACACACCGACAAGATGGGCTGTGTGGGCTGCAGCTCAGTGACCATCCTAACTGTGCTACCGAGCTCATTTTTTTCAAAGTGGAAATGAGGGCCAGAGTTTTTGACTTTTCAAGAGAGGATGGAAATCTGGATTTTAAAATACATTTTATGAGTTCAAATCAGAATATTCTGGGGCCAAACATAACCCATCCGCAGGCCTCTTTTAGTCACTAAGCCACAGGTCTGTCACTTTTGGAGTGCAGAGCAGGCCTGGGAAGAGGATCTGGCCAGGCTCCCATCTCCTGCCGTGCACAGCAGGAGATGTGGGCCTGGCCCTGATGGGTAAGGATACAGGAGTGGGTGCTGGGCTTTCTAGTGTCTGGGCTGCGGTGTGAAGGGGGAAGGGCAGAAGATGGTCACCCTTTTGGCAGGAAGAAGTTGACCCAACTCTGCCTAGACTTCCTGTCAGCCAGGGGCTAAAGCTGGGTGAATTTAGGGTGCTGTGGGAAGATTCTCCCAAGATCCCATCATTCCTTTTCTATGTTTTGGAGCAGACATCCAAGTCTCCTGTCTTAACTTGTCTCAAGCCGTTTTATCCTGTTCACCTCTATTAAATGTGAGATAGTCTTTGCTCTGTAGTCCTCGTTGGCCCCAAACTCTCAGGGACCCTGTTGTCTCCGTCTTCTCCTACTGGTGACAGTCATGAGCCACCATACCTGGCTTAGCATGTTCACATTTTTCTTTTCTCAACTGCTTGGCAAGGCTTCAAATCCACAGCTCTCTTCCTAGTCCTCTATGCTTCCCATTGCAGAACCCAGTTCACCCAGACAGCACAGGCCAGCGCCCCCATGCCCACCTCAGGCAGTTCCAAGCAGCCTTCCAACAGTCCCTCCAGCCAGTCCACTCCAGCTGACTCTGCCTCACCCAGTTGACTCTGCCCCCTCAGCTGACTCTGCACCACCAGCTGACTCTGCCCCCCCATTCTGCCTTCCCTAGCTTTTGACCCCCAGTTGACTTTGCCCCCCTAGTTGACCCTGCCCCCCAGCTGACTCTGTACCCCAGCTGACCCTGCCCTCTCAGATAACCCTGCCTCCCCCAGATGCTGCGTACCTCCTTCTGGCAGGACAAGTGACTCTCCAGCTCTTGAACTCGCTTCTGCTCCTCCTTCAGGGCCTCCTGAGCCCTGTGTTTCTCCTCAGCAAAGCTCTCCTCCAAAGCCTGCAAGCCAACAGCTGTTGGTGAGTTCTCCGGTTGCCATGGCAGGATCTGGACTCTGCTTGGCCTCTGCCTGGTTTGCCCTTCCATCCCCAGCACACCCCACAGGGGCCTGGGCAGCAGAGTCTGCCAACTGTAGGGCTTGAATTCCGGCTCAGGACAGCTCGACTCTCCCTCCCCGGCTGCGTACCTTCTTCTGGCGGGCCAAGCAACTCTCCACTTCTCGGGTTCTTGTCTGCTCCTCCTCTAAGGCCTCCTTTGCCCTGTTTTTCTCGTGACCAATAGCTTTCTCAAGAGTCTGCAAGTCAAGGACCCTTGTTAGACAGCCCTGGTAACCAGGGCAGGAAGGAGGGCTCTGCCAGGCTCCTCATGGTTTACCCTTCAGTTCTTTACTATGCCCCAAGGAGACTGTGGACAGCAAAGCCCAGGTGCAGGAACATGGGCTCTGGAAAGGACAGGGCGGGCCCAGGTCACAGTCCTGGATGGAGCCTTCCCAGTTGTGGGCCCTGGTGAGAGAGATTCTATGTGTGAAGTCTCAGTTTCCTTTTCTGTACAATGGGACTAGTACCAGTGCTTCCCACACTGGGTTGACATGAGGAGGGGACAATGAGATATTAGGAAAGCTGCCTGATTTACCAAGAAGTCAGGGGAGCAGGGAGATGAACCCTGGCCCATTTGACTCTAAAGTTTGTGTTATGAACCCAGGTTGGCAAAGTGGCCTGTAGACACTCTCTGGCTCCTTGCCGCTCTATTGTAAATAAAGTTTTATTAGAACACTCCATGTTCACTGTTGATGTGTGGTCTAAGGCTGCTTTTGAACAAGAACAGAGTTGCAAAGTCATAACAGAGACTGTGAAAGTGAAAATATTTACTGCCTGGCTGTGTGGAAAAAGTTTGTTGAGCTTGGTCTAAAGCTGTTAGAAGTATGCTCATAAATCAAGCAGATGCTGTTCAGGATCCATAATCCAAAAGGATGCTGGGTCTATGAAAAAAACTAGAGTTTCTTTTTGCCTCTGAATTACAGTTCTCAAAGCAGCCAGGATTCATATGAGGGAGGCTGATGAATGAACTCAAACACATGTATTTTTAGAGACGGTGACGTGAGGGGTACCTACACGTTCATGGCATATATCCACACTGACAACTCACACATACACATGAATGAAAATAAAATAGATCAGGATGGTGAGATGGCTTAGTGGATAAAGGCTCCCACAGCCAAGCCTGATGACCTGAGTTCTATCCCCAGGACCCACGTGGTGAAAGGAGAGAACAAACACCTGTAAGTTATCCTCTGACCGCCAGACTGGTCTACATAGTGAGTTCCAGGCCAGCTGAGGCCATAGGGAGACCCTGTCTCAAAAAGAGACAATATATATGTGAAAAGCCAGAAAGGTCAAAGTAAAGGCAAGGAAGGAGGAGGAATACCCCGAGGAAACAACATAAATTGGAGGTTGGAGAGAGGCACGGGAAACAGGTGTGTGTGATGGAGAGGGACCATCTAATTCGGAGCCAGTGAGCTCAGAACAGCAAGAGATGGCAGTGCTGTGACAGGGCCTGTCCTGCATGCGGGAGAAAAGAGGTGCTTGGGAGGAGCTAGGGTCCAGCAGATGGGGGGGCTGGAGGAGGGGCCACCATGTTGATACCCCGACACATACATTTTGATGGCTGTGTGTTAGAACTTCACCAACCTCAGAGCCTGGGCTACACTCCCATCTTTACCCCCAGATTCTAAATAACAAAATGTGACCAAAATCATGAGCCACTGACCTCAGAGGGGAACAAAGAAAGCAACAGAAACTGGCTTTTGAAATACCTATTCCCACCTACTCCAGAGAGTCTGACTTGGTGGGTCTTGTGTGGCGGCACAGGCTCTGTATTTTTAAATCTTTTTATTAATATATATTAGTATAATAAGGGGTTTCATTATGATATTTTCATACATGTACATAATGTACTTTGATCATATTCGCCCCAATTACCCTCTCTTGTCCCTCCTCCCACTTACATTGATCCCCTTCCTTTTTCACAACCAGTTGCTTACAGGAGCACGGGCATCTTACCAATGGCTACACTACTGAATAAAATGTCTCTTCCTCCCCTACCGACCATTAACTGCCTGTGGATCCTCAGAGACAGGCAAGGCCTCTGGGAAGGCCTTGGCTACTCCAAGGCTCTGTGTAAGATGCAGACCTGGGGTGTCATGACCCTTTGGGGGGCTGTCAGAACTGACTCTGTACTCAACTATATCCCTAGCCCATGCCCTGCACCTTGGTGTGTGTGAGGTGCTGCTGCAAGCTAGTTTCTAATGGGCCTGGACTCTAGAAGAGTGAGCAACTGTTTGAGTCAATTTGTACTTTTCCAGAGCAAGCAAAAGGCTGAAAGTAATCTGAAATCAATTTTGCATATACTTCATCAGTCACTTATAAACTGGGTCATCAGTAAAGACTGATTTTTCTTTTTTTCTTTTTTAAAAATATTTTATTTATTATTTTTATTTTATGTGTATGAATGTTATGCCTGCATGTAAGTGAGTGCACCCGTGTTGCACAATGCCCATGGAGGACAGAAGAGGCTGTCAGATCCCCTGGAACTGGAGTTACAGACAGTTGTTAGCTGCCATATGGGTGCTGGGATTCGAACTTGGGTCTTCTGCAAGAACAGTCAGTATTCTTAACCGCTGAGCCATCTCTCCAGCCCCAAGACTGATTTCTATAGTCAACTATGACACAGAAACTAGGAAGGAGGCATTTCTTGAAAGTTCAACATGCCTACCTTTTCTAGTTGATTTTTCTGTGGGTTTAAAATGTTTTTTTATTATTATTATAATTATTTGTAATTATGTGTGTCTGAGTGTGTTTGTGTGGGGATTTGTGCATGTGTGTGTCCCCATGGAGGCCAGAGGAGGTATTGGATCCCCTGGAGCTGGAGTTACAGGTGGTTTAGAGCCACCGGACATGGGTGCTGGGAATCAAACTCCAGTCCTCTGAAAGAACAGATGTGCTCTAAAACCACTGCACCATTCCCCAGCCCCTTGCTATGAGTTTTAGAACCAAAGCTTCCTGTGGAATCTTCCAGAATCAGTCACTCTGTTTAACTGAGTTAGGTCCAGAGCACAAATCGAGGGGCTAAGGAATTAACACAGAACACAAGTCCCCAACGATCCCTGGAAGGCTCTCACGTGTCTTCCCAGCAGCGAAGAGACTTCCGGGACCACCTCACCTCCTTCTCAACCGTCAGCTGCCAGATTGTGGCTTTTAGCTTCTCCTCTTGCTCCATCCTCTCCTCCTTCAGCTTCTCCTTCTCGGCCAGGTGTTCATGCAGCATGGACTGTTGAGTTTCCTGAGAAGCATTCACTTGGCCCTGCGTGCACAGAAACTCAAACTGAAGCCCACAGGGAGAGACTGGGAATCCTTTCCCCACTGTATTACAAACTGCCTTCTGGGGGCAAAGGTTTTATTACACAAAAATGTCTGAAAAACAAGTCAAACTGTATTGGCTTTGGGAAGTTACTGATGGGGAAGCAGAAGTGCGTCAAGACCTCACACTCTGGATCTAAAAGCATCCGGGCCTTCCTGTGCAGAAAGTGAGGTGAGTTGGTAGTGCCTGCATCTTATGAGTGAGATGGTAATGGAGAGATTTCATCACAGGCAAAGTGCAAACTAGGTGCTCAGGAAATAGCAGTCAGATGGTTAGTTACTGTTTGCAAGAGGCAAGGCAAAAAGCAGTGAGCCAGGGGTTGGAAGGCTTGTGTTTTGATTCTTTAACCGATCAGTTGTGTGACAATTAGGTTGCCAGCAATGTTTCTGAATGCTGATATCTATTATATCTGTGAAACGAGAATGGACTGGACCTGGGGTTGACAAACTACAGTCCACAGGCCAGAAATGGCCCACCATCTTTTTTTTTTTCTAACTATTGTTATTTGTGTGTGTGTGTGTGTGTGTGTGTGTGTGTGTGTGTACATATTCCATGTGTGTGCAGGTACCCTCAGAGGCCAGAAAAGGGTGTTGGATGCCCCGGAGTTACAGGTGGTTGTGAGCTGCCTGATGTGGGTGCTGGAAAATGAACTTGGGTCCTCTGGAAGAGCAGCAAGTGCTCTTAATTGCTGAGCCATCTCTCCAGCCCCTCTGCCATCTTTGTGTGTGTGTGTGTGTGTGTGTGTGTGCCTGCCCATGTGTGTGCAAGTAAGTACACATGCCTGTGTGCTCCCACGTGGAGGCCCTTTGTGTGTGTGTGTGTGTGTGTGTGTGTGTGTGTGTGCCCGCCCATGTGTGTGCAAGTAAGTACACATGCCTGTGTGCTCCCACGTGGAGGCCAGAGTAGGTGCCAGGTGTCCCACTCTAGCACTCTCCACCTTTTTCCTTTGAGGCAGGGTCTCTCCCTGAACCTGCAGCCTCTCTCCCCATCTCTGCCCTGACTCCCAATACTGGGGTTACAGGTGTGTGAAGGACCATGCCTAGATTTTTATGTGGTGCTGGGATCTGAGCTCTAGTTCTCATGGTTGGCCAGCAAGCACTCTTAACCATTGAGCCATCTCTCTATCCCCTACCACCTGCTTTTTAAATAAAGTTTTATTGGCACAGAGCCACGTCCATTGTTTTCTCTTGTATCTCTGTGTTCAGGAGGAAAACATGCTGTTGAGTTCAGGCTGTGCCTTGTGCTAAGTTACTCTGTATTGTGTAAAACAGCAGTTTTCCAGGCTGTGTCTGGGCTTGAGAGATTTCATTTTGAGGATGGAAGATGACTCTGCACCTGGGTTGTCATGTAAACATCACCATCTGTCCAGCACCACCTGCGCAGCACAGACTGATAGAGGACTTATTTATAAAAGTAGAAAAGGCACCACCCTATAAATCTATCAAAGTCAACGACTGTCAGGGTATATGGGAGTATTAAAATAACATCAGGAAAACCAGGCCTGAGAATGTATCAGACACACCAGACCAAGGAAAGGCTACAGCAACCTTACCTGGACCCCATGAAAAGGAGGACACCTCACACTGCCATGTCAATGGCCCCACCAGCCTGTCATCTGGCTACTTGGTATGTATGTCAAAGGACTGACAGGCAGAGAACTCCTGACTGTCCCAGGGACTTCAGCCTGGCTGTCCCCACTGCTGATGTGACCCACTGGAGTTGCCAATCGCCTGCCTGCACCTTTGTCGATCTGGGTCTGGTTCTGCCTTTTGCTTCTACAGGCTCTGGTTTGGACTTCTCTCCTGCAGTTCATCTCCATCCAGAGACTTGGCTCAACTCTGACCTTGCATGTGGACTCCCCAGCAGCATCCCCAGCAGACTTCTTGGGGGTCTGTTATCTGACCCCCCACAGAGATTTTTTTCAGCCCTCTCAGCTTCCTGCTTCTGCTTGGCAGAGCTCTTGAAACTCCTTGAACTCTGCTGCGGCCTCTTTAACACCTTTTAGCTGTTCTGTAACTGACATATACACATGTGTAGATATATTTACTGTGTGGTGTGTAATGTGTGGAATAAAAGAACCCGTGTTTGCCTGGGCCATCAAGGGAATTGGGACTACTTGGCAAATTGCTGTAAATGTGATTTTATTGTTAGTCAATAAATTCTGACATTGTGGAAAGATACAAATGTGCCTGTCTATGTTTTTAACACAGTGTGCTCATAACACATGCCCAGGCCAGCTGGTTGGACGATGAGAGACACAAGGAACAGAGATGTTTCACTGCACTGAGGCCAGCTTCAGTCAAGGAAGGCCAGCTAGCACCCCAGAGTGAACACCCCAGGTCAGCAGAGCTGCCTAGCTGCTGACCTTGGGCATGAGAGCAGGGACAGCCATTGCTGAATGTCAGCAACGTGAGGTGCGTTATTCAATCGTGTCATGACTATGGAAAGACAGCCCCTAAGGCTCACCTGCCTCCTGAATCTTTCCTAATTCTGCTGCCCAGACTCTGGGTAGCTGCATTTCTTTTAATTGCATTTAATTATGGTTTTCAGAATCAGATGACATTCAGTGTTTTGGTTTGTTTATTATAATAATTATTATTATTGTGTGTGTGTATTTGTGTGTGCATATGTGTGTAGGTGTCTGTGTGTGTGTGTCCAGAGGTCGACACTGTCTTCCTCAACCTCTTTCTACTTTATTTTTTTAAACATTTTACTTATTATTATTATTTTAATAGGGTATAGGGTAGGTGTTTATTTACAGAAGAGTGGGTGCTCCACATTTACTGCTGTGCTGTAATGAGTGTGTACTAAGTCCACACTCAAATACAGATCCTGTGACCTCCCAACAGCCTCACAAAATGGTGAGAGCCACTTTATTTATTTATTTATTTATTTATTTATTTATTTATTTATTTGTATTTTGCAGTCCAGTTAATCCTGCCTATTGAAATGGTGATTCATCTTGGTTTGATTTTGTCTCCTTTAAGTTACTGGCTTAGAACTCACTATGTAGACCAGGCTGGCCTTGAATTCACAGAGATCTACCTGCCTCTGCCTCCCGAGTCCTGGGATTAAAAGGCATGTAGGCGTGTGCCACCATACCAACATGAGCCACTTTATTTTTTGAGACAGGGTCTCTCATTGAACCTGGAGGTCACTGATTGGCTAGGATGGCTGGCCATCAAGCTCTTAGGATCCTCCTGTCTCTACCTTCCTAGTGTTGGGATGACAGCTGTGTGCCACTATGCCTGATTTTTTTTTTTTTTTTAACTTGGGTCCTGGGGCTCAGACTCAGATCTTCTTGCTTGTTGGGCAGAAGATTTTACTGACTATCTCCCCAGCCCCAGTCTTTTTTAAAATTATATTTTGTTGTGTGTGTGTGTGTGTGTGTGTGTGTGTTGTGTGTGTGTGTATGTGTGTGTATGTGCCATGGTACATGTGTGGAAGTCAGAGGACAACTTGTGGGAGTCAGTTCTCCTTCTACCATGGTCCTGGGGATCTAACTCAGGACATCAGACTTGGCAACAGGCACCTTTATGCACTAAACCATCTCACTGGCCCTCTTTTGGGGTTTTGATAGAGGAAATGAATCAATGTGGTTATCCAAGGAGGCCAGCCAGATGACAGTGCCCTGCATTTTGCTGTGCCTTGTGGGCCATCTCAGCCATGACTCAATTCCTTTACACATACGGAGAATCAAGTCACCTGCTGGAGGATATGGACTGACACAGTGTGAAAACAGATTCAGTGGGCAGTGTTGGATAGATGCCGAGGAGCTGCTGCAATGAACATGGGAAAGAAAGACCTTAAAAGAATTACCTGAAGCTCCTCAGTCTGGCTCATTATTTTCTTGTAATGTTCCATAAGATATATTAGATACAGAGAGAACCCTTAAAAAGAGGGATAGGAAGAGGGTAAGCATCAGTCCATCTCCTTTGCATTCTATGTCTTTTTCTTTTCCTTCCCTCCAGTCTTTTTAAAAAATATTTTATTTATTATTTTCATTTTATGTGTATGAGTGTATTGCCTGCATGTGTGTAAGTGCACCCCATCGATACCATGCCTGGGACAGCCAGAAGAGGCCGTTGGATCCCCTGGAACTGGAGTTACAGATGTTTGTTAGCTGCTGTATGGGTGCTGTGTGGGTGTAGCCAGTGCTCTTAACCACTGAGCCATCTCTCCAGCCCTCCCTCCCTTCTTTTGTCCTTTCCTTTCTCTCTCTCTCTCTCTCTCTCTCTCTCTCTCTCTCTCTCTCTCTCCCTCCTCTCCCACCCGCTCTCCCTCTTCTCCCTCCTTCCATCCCTCCCTTCATCCTCCCTCCTTCCCTCTTCCTTTCCTTCTTTCTTGAGACATGGTCTTGAGATGTAGCTCAGGCTACATCTCCCACCCGCTCTCCCTCTCCTCCCTCCCTCCATCCCTCCCTTCATCCTCCCTCCTTCCCTCTTTCCTTCCTTTCCTTCTTTCTTGAGACATGGTCTTGAGATGTAGCTCAGGCTACAATACCCATGGAGGCCAGAAGAGGGCATCGGATCCCTCGGACCTGAAGTCAGGATGGTTGTCAGTCGGGTGGGTGTGTGCACAGATTGGTGGATCCGTAACTCCAGGTCCAGGTGATCCAACAGCGTCTTCTGTCCTCTGCGGGCATTGCATGCAGGAATACATGCATACAGTTAAGAGCACCGGCTGCTCTTGCAGATGGCCACCCACATGGCAGCTAACAATGATTATAACTTCAGTTCGAGGGGAATCTGACATCCTCTTCTGACTTCTGTGGGCATTGCATGACACTGGTACACTTAAATATATGCTGGCAATACACTCATACACATAAAATAAAAATAATAAATAATAAGAAAGAAAACACACAGGAACCAGAGACAGGGGCCACAGGCATCATCTAAGTGACAGGAAAGGAAGGGGAGGTGGGGAGTGTAGTCTCGGCAGAGCTACAAGCCTGTGGAGAGCCCAAAAGGGGCTACTTGGCTGAGGCCACTAGGTATGGGCAGAGTGGAGAGAGAGACGCCGTTTCAATGGAGGATGTGGCTGGGTGAACACTATCACCAATACCCAGGTCTTAGTTCTTGGAACCTGAGATGTGGAAAGAGGGGGACTTTGTCAAGGTGCTGGGGTTAAGGGTTTTGAGGTGAGGGGAACCCTGGATTATCTAGATAGATCTACATCATCACACCAATATTTATAAGGAGACAGAAGGAGGAACTTGGATGGCAGATGCACAGACATACATGAAGGTGAAGTGATGGGAAAAGAGAGATTTGAAGATGCAACATTGCGACTTGAAGCCGGAAAGGGCTGGGCCTGGTGGCACAGGCCCGAAATCCAGCTGCTCGGAGAGCTGAGGCAGGAGCATTACAAGTTCAAGGCCAGTCTATGAACAGAGTGGCTTGTAGGCTGGCCTATGCATGGAGTGAGTTCAAGGCCAGCCTGGGCAACTTAGTGAGACTTTGTGTCAAAAGGAAAAGGGCTGGGGATGTAGCTCAGTAGTAGAGTGTGTGAACAGGGCCCTGGGTTCCGTCCTCTATACTGCAGGAAAAGAAATGAAGGAAGAACGATGGAGGAAGGGACCAGGAGTGAAGGCACAAAGCACGAGACACTGGATAAAGGGCAAGATGACGATGGTGCCCCCCCAACCTGTAGCAGCCCAAGTAGCACCTTGACTTGGCCCAGCAAAATTGATTTTGGCTGTTGGCTTCCAGCATGGTAAGAGCACACACATGCTCAAAACCACTTGGGTGGTGGTAATTTGTTGGAGCAACACATAGCAAAAGGATGCAGGGGATGAAGGTAGGTGAGGACGGGGAGGGGCTGAGCTGCCCCGGGCAGCCAATGAGGGAGGGGAGCAGTGGCCGGTGCAGCTGGATGGGAGGCTGAGGCCCATTTTTGGCAGGCCTAGAATAATCGCTGAAAATGAACAGAGCTGATTGAAACATCTTGGAAATACGCTGAGCACATCCCGAGTGATGAGCGAGGAATGCTCATCACTGCAGCGTTCGGTCATCGCCCCATTTGATGGATGAGCTCTGAGCTGCATGGCTGCCAGTGGCTGGTCTGAGACTCAGGCTCCAGTCAATGTGACTGCAGGGTCTTATATACATACAGGCAAAACACATACACATAACAAAATAAAACAAGCCTCCCCCCCGGCCAAAAAAAGAAAAAACAGGCAAAAAGCTGTTGAATGACTGAAAGTGAAGGCCCTTTGTAGCCCTCTGCTAGGGTATGCCTAGTAGTTTTGTCTTTTTTTCCTCCCTCAGATTTTTTTTCTTTTGGTTAGCCACTGACATTTTAAAAATTCAAAAAATGGGAACTCAGTCTGCATATTATATTACAATTTGCTTCTTTTCCTTTTTTATTTTTAAAATTATTTATTTTATTCTGGTCTTTTTTGAGACAGGGTCACCCTATGTCTCAGCTGACCTGGAAGTCTTTATGTAGATTGGGCTGGCCTTGATCTCACCTGTCTCTGCCTCCCAAGTGCTGGGACTAAAGGCATGACCACCACACCTGGCAAATTTTTCTTTCTTTTTTTTTTTTTTTAAAGGTTCTACATATTTATTACTGAATCAACCAATTCACTCCTGCAGAACAAATAAAAATCGAATCAGAGCCGGGTGTGGCGCATGCCTTTAATCCCAGCACTCGGGAGGCAGAGGCAGGCGGATCTCTGTGAGT